AAGGAAAAAATATATTTTTTCCTTCCCCTTCCTCTGTCCAACCGTCAGATTACTTGAAGTGTCAGATTACTTGATCCACTGACTGACTTTCGTAAGGATCGACTTATCAGTAGACTTGTTGATTGGTTAACGCATGGACTTACAGATTTAACAGATTGACTGAGTTATGGATTGAATAATCCACTGTCCAACCGTCAGAGCGACGAAGGGCTAACCCTCGAAACGTCAGCTTTTTTTATTCGTTACGGTGGCCAATTTACATATTTCAACTGAGTTGATATAACCAAATTACAGCGAGATCCTCGTCTTGCTACAGCTGCGATATCTCGGCATCTTTTACCATCGAATTGTGTAAACATTCCAGCGGTCGTGGAGCGCTTTGGAAACTTTGATGTACATGTCGTTAAGACAGAACAAGACATTCAATCTACAACAGAATAAACGGATACTCAAAATCTAGTCGTAGTGATAAAAAGAAGGGCGTTACCGGCTACCAGAGTCCTTAAAGATCCCAAATAATATGATGATTGTTGGTCTTAGCAACGTACAAATAACGTGTTGTAGTAGTGTCTCGTTTAGGTCCAAGAAACCCATTTACATGGAGAACATTGTACAATCATCCACAGTTGATTCGAAAGAAAGTTTTAAAGAAACGGCCAAGGCTTACCTCGATCGCGGCCAATTGGACGAAGCACCAACGATGTATAGTTAAGCTCTGGTTCTTTAATTGTCCAAATGACTCAGACTCTCACAAGAAGGGCGTCGACTTATTTAAAATCTGCTCAACAACAAAAGGATAGTCCGTCGAAAAGGAAGTCTTCGCTACGGCTTGTATTAAGTGATGCTGAAGCTGCCATCAAAACTGACCCTTCCTGGCTGCTTGGTTACCGCACTAAGTCTGCAACCTTGGCAGGGCTGGGCAAAAAGCCAGAAGCACTAGCTGCTGCTGCAGTGTTTAAACACCTGAGCCTAGGTCGTAATATCTCGGAAGTCACTCAGAGAGAGAGCTTCAAGTCCGTGTGGAAGCTTTGAATCAGCTGCCGTGTGTTATTCAAAATGTAGAGGAGCTTGAGAGGAAGAACCTAGTCGTTGTGATAAAGGAAGGAGAGTATCTGTTGGAGAGAAGTGTTGAAATCTCAGTGGAGAACTTGATCGCTAGTCGCTGGAAAGTATCGATAGGGTTCAAAAGAGGGGAGCCTTTCGGGTTTACAGCAGCATGTCATGTTGAAAATGTAGAAATGGCTACGGACTGTGACAGCCAAGAGGGATCACAAGATTGCAATTCAAATGATACTGAACCGGAAGTGATAAGTCTAGCCACGCCTTCCTGGTACGACAACACGAGCAATGAATGTAAAGTGAACTGACCGTCCTTTGAAAAGTTATTTTACAGGAACCTCACCATGAATATTTGTCATCTGAACTGAACTCCGTTTACTTAAGATTTCCTGACAGATGACTGTACAAATCTAACTCAGAGTATGCGACATTATCCAGTTATCCTGTCTGGAGACCATAGATTATAAAATTCAAAGCACACATTCGTGTAGCAATATTGTTTTAACGCTTGAACTAACATGATGAGTCATGGACATAGGGCTAAAGTAGCTAAAAGCCTTTAAATAGAAAATCGAAAAGTCAGTCTGGCAAAGCGGCTGTTAAAATTTCAGCAGCATTGAAGTAGCAGATAAGAAACAGACGAACCGTTCCGTTCGAAAATACTGGCGACCATTTTACTCTTGAAGATTATTTCCAAATGAAAGGATTAATAAATCTAACTAAAATAAGTCAGCTGATGGTAAATCAAAAAGGCCAACTCCACCTGATCTTTGTCTCTGCTAAGATAACAAGAACTCGATTGTAGTCTCTAATTTGTAAATTCTTGATTCATAATGGTGTTTTTTTTTTTACAAGAAGTCACGGCTACCATGTGAATGTTACTAGATGATGAAAAGTCGGGCATATTGATGATTCCAAACTAGTCCTGTGGGAGTTAATTTATTTTCAAATGCAACCTTTCTCTTTTGTTACGAGGAAAAAAAATAAGATACTTAATCCACGTGAATCAAAAGGTTTTATGATAATAAAAATAATGAGAAGAATCATCTTCATCGTCATCATCCATTATTCTATCCATTTCCACCACTTATTTTATAATAATCGTCACGCTTAAGATCATCACCACTCCTTGTGTTCGTTTACTACGATTTTTAACTCAGTGAGGAGCGACGAAAGTTTGCAGACCAGGATTTTACTTTGAAATCGTGATGTTTCCAGGTGCGACTGGTTCCGTTTCCAGTGGCAACGTGGTCGTTTCACTCCATTTGGCGGGCTTCCACGTTTGACAGTGAAGATGCATGGGTCAAGAAATTCGGTTACCATTAGAAACGAGGAAGGTTGCCTTTGACAACACTGATATTTAACGGTCCAAATCATGTGACGTAGGGGAAGGGTTTCGTTCAATTTTACATGTAGTACGTGTTGATCTCAATACAATCATTAGCATCCTGCAGGGAAACTGAACTCCCATATTTACTACATTGTCTCTACAAACTACCTCTTCTTTCACCACTACGTCAGTCCCACCCAAATCCGAAGCTGTTTTTGTGTTTTTGACCTTTGTGTTTTTTTTCCTCAAGAAGTGCTTTCCTGGAAGGGAAATATCATTCTGTTTTCGGTTTTGAGCATGAAAACAATAACGGTCAAGCGCCATCTTGATTTAGAGCGCATTTTAGAACAAGATGCTATTCTAAAGTACTTTACCGCGGATTTCTTTTGACCCATTTAACTAAGATCTGTTTTGGACATGAAAGCAAGAATAAAAAACCAGACTACACTGAATTATTTTTCTAATCGTGCTATCTTAATGCTTATATTCAAGTAAGTAACAATTAAAAAAAATACATACATCTTATGGCAGGAAGATGGCAGGCACACTTTTACACGACCCTGAGCAGGGCAAATCGACGAGGAGTATGCAAGAAGTGGAACACTGATACTTATTAGTGCGAAGCGCAAAACTTCTGCGTGTACCTTTTTTATTTTAAGCTCTTTACACCCTAACAACAGTACGCATATTCTCAATACTTTTCTCTATACATTTCCTGAGGTGCTCACAAATAGAATTTGTTTAACAATCAAGAGCCTCTTAAGTTGTTGATCATTTCTGTTTTTCCCGTGACCTTAATGCTATATTCATGGTGAGATTGATTTTGTCGCGTTTTTGGTTTTTTTTTTTTGTGAGTGTAACTGTTTGTATTTATTTGTTACGTTGTATTTTGCATTAACAAAACTGCTCTGGTTTTGAGGGTCGCCCTGCCAAGCCGAGCGAAATAATAAAGTAGTAGTGTTATACTTTTAATTTTTCCTTCAAAACATTGGGAGTGTCTCTACCAACTCAAAGGCACTGAGACCTTCCCCATATTTCACAATGCAAATTTGAAAACTGATTGTGAGGTCTCAGCAAAGTTGATTTGCATTACGGAAAATCTGTTCATTTCATTTGTCGCTCACGCGCGATCGAGTGACCTTTTGAGTCAACCTCGCCCCTACCTCCGCTTGCAATGGCTAGCAATGGATGCTATCTTAAGTAATTCGGCTACAAATTTTCAGGTCTTAAGCTATTTTACAAGTTAAAATTCTGTTTTGATCGACCACCACGAGAAGAATTTCCGTCTTTACCAAACTTCTTTCTACTTGAGCAGACTAAAAAAAATCATGGATAAATTTGCCCCTTAAAAAGTTTTTTAAAAAGAATCGTTTAGCTCTGTTTTGTTTCGTTTTCATTGTATCTCTAACGGAGATCTCGAAGAAACATTGGTCATCAAAAAAAAAAAGAATTCCTTATTCTCTAAACTTCATGAAGTGCTTTACACAACAACATTCCTGTCAAACTCAGTTCTCTGGTGAAACGGCAGTTCATGTCAGGTCCTTAAGCTCAAGGAATCCCTCGTTCCTTTCAGCTAAATTTGGACGTGAACAACGGTTTTCTTGCTCTTTCTCCCGAGAAGTAAAACAGGTTAGACCACTGGGAACTGTAAGATGTAAATGAATGGGGACATTTTCACGTGCAAATTTTCACCTCTCCGATGAAACTTTGAACAACAGACATCTTCAGTGACGAAGGACAAGATTATCATTCTATTACGTGAAGGAAAATGAACCTTCTTAGCCTCGCCTGGGTGAAAATTTGATTGATTTTTTGGATCATTATAAGTAGCTGGTAACAGTGTCTTATCTCAAATGCAGTGACATTCTCATTTTGATCATTACTAGTAGCTAAGAACAGATTTTAATTATGAAAGACCGTGACATTTTAATAAACCCCCCCGTATATAAATCGTCATTGATAACTAGCAAACACGTTGTTGAAGCCAGAAAATGCTAATTTACATGAATATAAGCCCGCTATTCACGGATGAGGTCCAGAAGTTGGTGTAAATTTGCCTTGCAAATTTTCCTGAGCAGAACTAGCGTTTAGAGCGTCATTTAAAACAGCAGCCTTAATATAAGGAGTGCTCTTGTGCCACGACAGACTGTCTCCCCACGGCTTGAGACATTCATGAGGCTGGCTGATATGTGGCAAGAAGCCTGCGTTTTGTTGGTATTTTTGACTGACAGATCCTGGTAGAAAAAAAATAATGGATGAAGTTTAAAACCGTTTAATACTCTCAGCTCTTAAAAAATACGCATAATATAATCCTTCTCTGATAACAGATATACTGTTGAGTTATTTTAAAAGAGAAAATTTAATTTTCTATTCGGAAAGATCGCTGGTAGTTGTACGTTTGAAATTTTGTATAAATGCACTCTAATGATCCAATTTTATGAAGCTTGGAATAATTTTAAACTGCCAGTTCTACGATAACATTAGTTGCATCGTTTCGGTCAAGGGTACTGTAAAGAGAGCTGGAAACGAGTCGTTACTGTCACGAGAGACTGGACACTAGCAGTTAAATATTGGACGATGACGTAAGCGATTGTCATTTCCGCTTTCGAGATGGAAGAGTCGAGGAGTAATATAATAATAACATCTTCGATGCGTTGAGGATTCCTTCTGCTTAATAATCCACCAGGACTGTGACATGTGAGTACAAGTTAATGCATACTATCGAATCCCTGTCCTTGCTCTGTTTTAACTGCAATATGGTTATTGCGTATCTTACACATTTCGAAACTCTGACTTCGAAATTCGTTTGCAAATATATTTACCTTCCGATTAAGCACGTCTTTAACTGGAATTAAGTTTATTCGGGTTTTCGGACTAAAGGTTTTTTTAGTATTCTGCTAAATCAACACCCAAGACCAAGTTGAAACGCCAAATTTTCATAGTGCGGAATCAGTATAATCTTTGGTAGGTCGAGATCTCGGATTCAAACGATGAAAAGTTTGAAGACCTTTGAAGCCGCTAGTTTCACATTGCTTTAATTGGATTAAGTGAAGATGTCACTAAATATCAGACAAATTCACAAGTCACCGGCAACAGTAAAAAAATCGAATTGGCTCATACTCTAGTATTAGGTAGGCCTATATATAAAACAAAGCGAGACATGTAATTTGTTAAAGAATTCTTTTGTTTTCGAGAAAATTGATTAACTCAATTTACGCGTAGTTTAAGTGTCATGCGAAGGTCGAATTTAGCCCATTTTTGGAGGCCTCGTTTGTACTTGTAAAAGCCGTGAAAAACTTACTTATTCCACAGACTTTTAGAACAATGTCTCCCCTATGTTTTCACAAAAAAGTAGAATCACTATTTAAATTTCAAATATAATACGGATTTTACTATTTATTTATTTACTTGGGTGCCGTGTGAAACTAGGGTAGCTTCAAAAAACTATCTTTAAATGTGCTAAGTGAAATAGGCGTTTAGTATTTAAAACATGAGAAGTAAAAATGATAAACTTACCGTTTGTAGAGTTGTTTGTCTGGGTTTTTGGTGCTGCTGTGCATACGAGGGCTTTAAATTCACAGAATTTCGCCCTTAGGCAAAGTCGGCGACATAAGAGAAAAGACAGACTTTGTTTATCATTTGCGGTTTGCAAGCTTCAGTGGTAATAATAAATACTTGAATGCTATGAATAAATTAACGTCTTCAAAGTACTTCCAATACGATAGAAGTTGTTTTTGTTTTCTCCGAAAGCATTCATTTTGTGGAAATGAATGGGCGTGGTTGTAGCTGCGTGACTTATGTGTCACGCAATTGTTAGATTTACGTTGCTGTTATGCAAGTGGTTTGAAATTTGTTAAATCGAAAAGTTGCAGGGGATTTTTTTTATGAAATCCAAAAAGTACGAATGAGAGGTTTTGTGTTCAGATAAAAATTCGTATTTTTTTGGACCTGTTACTACTTATAGGCAATTAGCAATAAGACGTAACATTCAGTTAATTTCATCTGATAACACTTAGTGCGCAACAAGTAAACTGAGCCTTTAAATATTTTGAAGAATGGAAATTTGATGTTCATTTGAATCTCTTGTTGTGGATGATTGTGGCTACAATCCAAAAGACAGGGGATAGGCGAATAGTACCTTTGCTGTCATGTGACAAGGAAATAGCATGGCATTTGGCTCTTTTTTCATTCACTGGTGTGTTCACCGAGCATGACTTGATATTGAGTACAGCAGCTGTTTTTCAACAACCCAACGATGGGCTCTTCCGAAAACGTGGAGTGCGGAGTCTGAAAAAAAAAAAATTAAAAAAAAAAAACAATGAAAAGAATGATTAAATACATAAATAAAATTAAAATAGAAATTTAGGAAATAAAAATGATAATTATTAAAAAATTCATGCCGCCTGAAGTGGACTGTTCATATGGTATATTTAACCCAAGATTTTCATAGTTAGCGGTTCAATTTTACCTTGAGTTAGCAGTTCACTTTTACCACTTGTTACCAGCTTTAAATGAATATATTAAATACGTTTATCTCCGTCACATGCCTTTCCATGTCAATTGATTGAATGCCAGGGCTAGGGGAGACAACTTATCCCTAACCTCTTCCAGGCGTTGGGTTAGTTGGGTCATAGCTCGGAAAACGGCGAGCGAAAAAATCGGGAAAAAGTGCTTTTTTTGTTCTGTTTTGCGTTAAAAGCGTTAAAATTACTAGTTTATATATGTATTTAATTATTCTTTAATTGTTTTTTTTTAATTTTATTTTTAGACTCCGCACTCCGCACATTCATCGATAATTGTCGATGTGGTGAAGCCAGTTTTCAGAGAAGGAAATAAGGCGTTAATCAGGTGCTTGGTCACACTTTAAAGGCTGGTTTTCACTCGCGAGGAGTCGTAGTCGGAGTCGTAATCAGAAGCGTGGAGCGATACGATCTAGTGAAA